AGGGGCCGAGCCAGCCCTCCCTCAGCGCAGCACAGCAGCAGAGCCTCGTCCCCGCACCCAAGCTCACCACTCTGAACCGTTACCCTAAACTGACTTTCAGCTAAAGGGCTCCCAAGGCCACTCTGTGTTCCCAGGCCTGGCTGCGGCTGGGATGGGGCCCTGCCTTGGGGTGTGGCTGGTCCCCGCCCTGCTAGCCACAAACGCTGAGAGCGTTTAAGAGGTAATTAGGCTGTGGGGCCTCCGCCCTCAGGAAAGAATTAATAAAGCCTCCCGAAAGTGGGTTAGTTATCCCGAGAGTGTGCTGGTAGAAAGTAGGTCAGCTCCTACGGCCTTTTTTTTTTTTCTTTTTCTTTTCTGATACCTGGGAGCGAACTCAAGACTTTGTGCTTGCAAGGCAGGCACAGGCCACTGAGCTACATGCGGGCCCATCCTCTGGCCTCTCTTCCGCATGCACCTGCTGAACACTTTCTGCCAGGCTTGGAAGAGCAAAGTAACCCCTGTAGCAGTTGCCCAGCCTCTGGCATTTTATGGCAGCCACGGAAAAGATGGCTTCCACCTCCGCTCAGCGCAGTGGTTTCTAAAGGTGGAACTCTTTGGGGGTTCGGTTGTGGAGAGGATAAATCCCTCCTGGGGCTGGGTGCTCACTCGGGCCCCTCCGCAGTGGTGACAGTGACTGTGATGTGGCAACGAATTTTGAGACGGCCTTGGGAAACAAACAGACCTTGGCTGAATCAGGGCCGGGCCTCTGATAATCCCAGTAGGCTTTTTTCTGAGCCAGGGTCTCTCTGTGCCAGGCTGGCCTCAAACTTACTGCACTGCCCAGGCCGCCTTCAGACTGTGACCCTCCCACCCCAGCCCCCCGGGATGGTGGGAGTAGGGCGCCCACACCAGTTCAAGCTCTGTGTCCTGCAGCGTAAAGACTTCATCACCAGACATCTGTTGGTTGCCTTCCAAGTGTTGACCCTGTTCTGGGTTTTGGGGAACAGCTGTGGCAGGACAGCTTCTGAATCTGGGGGCTCACATATTAGTATAGTGAATTAATGAGAGAACACTTGCCGGGTGACTGAATGTATCTAATATTAAAAATTAAAAATCTAATATTTCAAAACAATGGAGGCTGGCATGGTGGTGCACCTCTTGTAATCCCAGTTACTTGGGAGGCTGAGGCAGGATTGCAAATTCAAGATCACCTTGAGCAACTTAGCAAGAGTCTGTCTCAGAATAAAATAAAAACAGCTAGTGGGGCCGGGGATTTAGCTCAGTGGTTCCACCGCCTGCCTTGCAAGAATAAGGGCCTGAGTTTGATCCCCGGTACCAAAAAAAAAAGCTCAGGGTGCAACCAGCGCTAGAGTCCTCACTCAGCCTTTACCCATGAGGCCCTGCGTTCAACCCTTGTACCATGAACCCAAAACGGCAAAGTACCATACTGGGAGGGAAGCAGAGCAGAAGGAAGGCGCTCCTTCTTGCTCTGGTTTGTTTTTTTGGTACCGGGGATTGAACTCGGGTCCTTGCACTTGCAAGGCAGGCCACCGAACCGCTGAGATAAATCCCCAGCCCCAGGAGCTGCTTCTTTGTGGAAAATGTTTTAAAGAAAAGAGCCATACAGATGCTGCCAGCTGCCCTTATGATGCTGACCATCCCGTGATGTAATCAGTCCTTTAATTACCAACCGGAACTGCCCCTTTTTGACATCCCCAAAGGCAACTGCTTCATTCACCTGCTGAAAGTGAGGAAATTAAATCCAATCAGAAGAGACGGCAGATGTGACCCGTACGGCTTGAAGCTTTTCCGGTTGCTCGGACTGGAAGCCTGGGTCTAAGGACAGCAGGCTTCGGACTCTGGACACGAGACCCAAGTTGCAAGGCCGAGCTGCAGAGACTGGTTTTGGCCTTAGCAGCTGCGGGGCTGGCTGTCGGGTTTTGGAACTACGCAGTTCTAGGCACTGCCCTCTTGTGGGTTACAGAGGTCTACAATGAGGGAATGTTCTCGGTGCCTTGTGAAATAGCCGTGAAAGTATCTGTCAGATGACAGCGTAGGTTACCTGTGTTCACTGTGGGATGCACAGTGCTTCCTGAAGTTGAATGCTAACCTGGGAGCAGTCGAGTAAATCACGGCACAGAGGCACCCAGCGGCAGCCGTGGAACCTTAACAAAGACAGGGGCTGCTCTCCATATACTGAGCTCCATGATGTATCAGGGAAAATTTGTAATTCTGTCCTGCGTGCGGACAACCACCTGGACAACAACTATCAGGGGTTCTTCTCAGGGGTGGGGCTTGAGGTGCTTTCCCTTTCCCATGCAGATTTCTCATTCTTTGCACTGGTAAAGTAAGAGATTTTATATTCACCACTGGCAAGGTGCACACATCAGCGTCTTCCTAGCTCCTTCCTCTTTCCAGATCTTGGCTGATGCTGCTTTGGAGAATGAACCTGCTGGTTGGGGAGCTGGAGCAAGCTCCCCAGCACAGCCTCGACTTGCTGACCTGAGAGCCGAGCAGGTGCAGTCTGTGCTCTGCCGTACCTCTTACGGAGGGCAGACGCGCCATTGCAGGTGATCTTTGACACCGAACCCTCAGTAAGGACTCTAACCCACATGCTGATCTCTTAGGGGTCACAGTATTAATCCACTCAGGCGTGGCCAGGCAAGAGGAGGCGCCTCAGACCCCTCCCACCTCCCCGCTTCTGCCCCCCTGCATGATGGTCTTCCCCGAGCCTCTAAAGCAGAATTCAGAACTGGTGTCTCAGACTTTCCAATTTTTACTGGTGCAACTTCCATGATGCAGTGATTTAGGAAAATGCAATAAGCGTCACTGTGGACCTTTTCGGGGAGGGATGCAGGGCTTGGACTTGTCTGCTCCACATGGTGAAGACAGCATCTTCAGGGCTTTCCAGCACCTTCAGGGCCACAGCCAAAGCTCTGAAGTCCAGTGCACCTGACACTTGGCCTCGCCGGAGGGGACTTTTCTGCCTCAAAGCAGAGGGATCTATTTTTAGCAGTTTTTTAGAGCATAACCGCCTTTTATAGCTATAACACGCGCTCCATTGAGCACAAATTTGGAAAATAGGGAAAGGAGGAGCAATCACCTGCATGCAAACATCCCCAAGCCTTCTTTTGAAGGCCGCTCCCATGGTCTAGTCACCCCCAATCCTTTCTGTTTTTGTTCCATGATTGTCAGGCACATGTATAGGATTTTTTTTTTTTAACTTAACATATTCTTAGTACTTCCCTATGTAACCACACTCTTCAGCAATTATTTCTTCTTCAAGAATATTTTTCTAAGGACAAAAGCAACGTATTTTCTCAGAGGAAATCCTGGAAATTACTGAAAAGCATAAGTGTATTCCCCCAAATCCCAGCCCCTCAAGACAGACATCAGTAACTTTGAGAATGCATCTTCCACTATTCCTTTCCTGACCACATAGCTATTCTTTTAAAAAATGGATTTAAAAGCCGGGCATGGTGGCTCATGCCTGTAATCCCAGCACTCGGGAGGCTGAGGCAGGAGGATCAGAGTTCGAGACCAGCCTGGGCAACATAGTGAGTTCCAGGTCAGTCTCAACTACATAGTGAGACCCTATCTCAAAACAACAACAAAAACAAACAAAAAAGGACTTAAAGCACATTGGTATGTTTCTCACACCACAACTCCATGATTATTCTAATTGTCCATGCCACATAGATGAACATTTACTGATTGTGATGTACCTCGGCACTATTGCTGGTTTTTCTATTACAAAACTGCAGTAAGTTCCTTAAACGAAACATGTTTTTGATGCAGAGTCTCACTGAATGACAAGAGCAGGCCTTGAACTTGCAGCCCTCCTGTCTCCACCTTAGAGCAGCTGGGGTTATGGGCGTGGGACAGCGTGCTGGCCTGTCATAAATACCTTTGCTTTGAGACGTTTCCTTAGATTTTTAAAGCCAAAGGCCATGAGAAGTTCTTCATGTCGCCAAAGGACTTTCCAGAAGAGTACACTGATCCTTATCAGTGAGTGGCAGCCCCAGGTTCTTACTAGCATTGCTGTAAACTACTTTTATAAGCTAAAAAAATTACGAGGCAGGGTGAATTAAATAGTATTCACTTAGATTGTCTGTCTCACGTCTTACCAGACCTACGATGTTCATGGTCACCTGTCACTCGCTAGGGTCGTCTCAAGGGCACTGCATACATTGACGTCAGCTCTTAACTATGCCAATTGCTGTAAATTATTTTAGACAACACTCAAATGTGATTACTTTCAACATATTACATTTAGTAGAGAAATCAATACTGCCTTTGTTATGAAGTCTTAAAGTGCCTAGAACAAGAGCTAGCACATACTGTGTGATGCTAAAATCAGCGAGTATCATGTGAATTACAGCCACGTTAAGTGGGGAAGTACTCAAGTTTTCTGATCCCAAGAACTTCAGACTGAACTACATCTCCAGCACTTCTGCTTCCTTTTTTTTTTTGGTACCAGGGATTGAACTCAGGACCTTGCCCTTGCAGGACAGCTAAATCCCCAGCCCTACCCAGCCCTTCTGAGATAGGGTCTTGCTAAGGTGCCAGGACTAGGCTTGAACTTGCAATCCTCCTGGCTCAGCCTCCTGGGTGCTACGATCACAAGTGTGTACGACTAAGAATAAGTCTTTTGCTACAGGATAATTTTCTTACTTCTCAGCAGTTTGGTGGGATCCCCGCTCTGCAGCCTGCTAGTGCATCACCTCAGGCCGGCTAGTTAGAGCCTGTCTTTCCCTCAGGAAAACAGTAAGCATTATGCAAAAGCTCCCGTCCCAACTTTCTGCCTTTCTCTACTTGTCCGCCTAGTCTTTCACAGTGAGCATTTAAGACGAGTCTAAAATACACCAGAGAAAGCAGACTCAGGCAGCAACATCCTCACCGTCCCTGCTTCGGGGGCTTTGTTGTGGCATCAGGACCACGCCAGGCGCACAGAGGGCCAGCTCAGAAACAAGAACAACGGGCTCCGCCTTCAAGTATACAATTTGTTTTTATTTACAATACCCTATAAAAATGTAAATTTAGAAACTTTTATTTTCATTAATTAGAACCAAACAAGATAAAGTAGTTAGGAAAAAATAGCCGTCAAGTGTTCACTTGATCGGCGAGGGAGGGAGGCCAGAGAGGGTCAGTAGATGACGAAGGCAGGAGCACAGGGACTGAGAATGGGCACTCGGGAAAGGCCGGCCTGACCGACTACATTCGAAAAGGCGAGGTGCTGGGGGAGCGCAGCCACCAAGGTCTCGCTCAGCCTGGGGGGCCGGGACTCATGAGGGGTGCAGCAGGACTGGCCGCGGTCACCAGGGGAAGAGGTGCAGTGCACACAGGGACAGGGACAGGGACACGGACAGGGACAGGGACAGGCCTGAGGCTGCCGCTAGGAGGACAGAGTGGGGGAAGGGGGGGACGAAGGAGGGGAGGGGTGGGGGGAGGGGAGGAGCTCTTGGCCCAGAGCCGCAGCCAGGCAAAGATTGGGATTTCATTCCAAGTGCTGCACACCCTGAATTTATGCTAGGACGAGGGGACCCACCAAAATAACGACGAGGCGGAGGCGAGAGCGAGGGTCATCTGCTGGTCTGTGCTCAGGGGATCAGCGCGCACACCGGGTGTGTGTGAACCTGTCGTGAGTTCTACCCAACTGGCCCACCTAAGTCGAGTTAATATGGGGCGACAACGACAGTCTTCAGCAGGACAAGGGAGGACCCTGTTTGGCAGGCTGTGGTCTACCCTGAACTGCAGTAGTGTGGTGGAATAAAGGGAGGTATCTCTGTGGCTCTAGGGCAAAGAAAATGCAAAACTGTGCAGAACCCGGGAAAGGACATGCAGAAATGTAACACAGACAGAAAAGAGGGGCCCAGGGGGGAATCACCCGGCCATGTGTCCTGACGGTCCTGCCTCGGGATGCGACCCCACGAGGCACGTCTGCTCCGAGGACAGCTGCCTGCCCTCGTGACGACACTCCCTCGGCGTGCGGTGGCGTGGAGCAGTGCAGACGGCAGCTACAGGAGGTAAGGACACAGTCGGAGACCTCATCGGATGCCCTGAACCAACCTGAGGGTGGAGACAGACAAGCTGAGTCAGGAGCGTCTCCTCCATCCTCTGAGAATTCTGGTGCCGACCCCGGTGCCTCTCCTCAGCCCTCTTCACTGCTGGGGCACAGGCTCTCAGGGCAGTGTCCCCCCAAGTGCCTGGTGGACGTTGTCTTTTCTTTTTCTGCACCTTCAGCTCGTCCCACCCCGCCCACCCGCCTCACACTCCTAATGCGCAACTCAAACAGCCCCCAACTTACTGGAGCTTCGTCTCCAACAAGGTCAGTTTCTGCTGGTCAACATAGCGAGAAAAAAGGGACACTAGGTTTGTGGGGATGGAGACGGGCTTGGCCAGGGCGGCTTGGGGGATCCGCAGAAGTTCTCGGGTGGCCATAAACATCATCTCCGTCCTGATGGGGGAACAAAGCAACAGTGAGGAGAAACCCAAGCGCAGACGACCCAGAGGGCTGCCGGCCGGGGCCGTACTGACCACTGGACACCGCGCGCAGGCTCTGTCGGGGGCTCGGAGCTCTGCAGGTCTTCGACCCGGCTCAGGAGGGTGAGAAGCAGCGAGAGGCCGAACTGTGGAAACAGAGGGAAGCGGGTTCAGCGCCTGGCCCTCCTCCCACAGCCCAGGTCCCCAGGGCTCCCCTTGCACAGTAGCCAGAGGGCAGCCAGGAGGCCGTGCAGCTCAGTGGGTGCCCAGCGCCTCTCTCTGCCCTCCTGGAGGGGAAAGCAGGACCCCTGCCATGGCCCTGTGGGCATTTCTGCTTTTCTCGTATTTATAAGAACCAAATAGACAAGGAAGCCAAGAAAAAGTTCCCAGGAAAAGCATTAAATGAGAAAGATTTTTAGAATAAAGAAAAAAAAATAGCAAGAAAGGTAAAGGAAATTATCAGATCAGTATATAAACTGAGAAAATTTCCTTAAAAAGGGATACTTGAATGGAAATGTAGAGGCTGCGAAGGAATCTAAAAAATGAAAAAGCAGGAAAGATTCAAAACAGATCCAAACACTGTACCTACAATTATTAAAATTCAGCAGCATGACGTAGAAACTGAAACACATGAAAATTTGTTTTATTCAGTGGCAGTAATAGTAGTCTATAGGTTAAGTGTATGAGATCACAATTCTGGCAGAATTTTGCGATTCCAATCACCTGAGTTTACCCTCCTGAAGATAACCCTTGCCTTTCCACAAATTTCCCTCATGAAAGAAAAATCAGCACCAATGCAATTAGAAATGAGAAAGGTAAGCCAGGTGTGGTGGCGCATGCCTGCAACCCCAGCACTTGGGAGGCTGAGGCAGGAGGATCACTGTGAGTTCGAGACCAGCCTGGGCTACATAGTGAGTTCCAGGTCAGTCTCAACTACACAATGAGACCCTTAAAAAAAAAAAAAAAAAAAAAAAAAAAAAAAAAGAAAAGAAATGAGAAAGGTAAAATTACAACACTGCCAAAATTCAGACGCTTGCAGGAGCTATTTTGAAAATTTATATTCTAATAATTGGGGAAGCTAGATGAAACGGAGAAACTCCTACATGCATATGAATTATCAAAACTGAACCAAGAAGATATAAAACCTCTGAATAGACCTCTGTGATAGGCACTGAGAAAGAGGTGGTAATAACCCCCCCCCCCGACTGAGGAGAGCCCTGGAGCTGATGGAGTCCTTGCCAAGGTCCACCAGAACTTCAGGGCAGATGTAGCACAAGGACTCCAGTCCCATTCATGGAACTGAAAGGGAAGGGGCACCGCCAAACTCACGCTGGCAGCAAAACTGGACAAGGATTAGCAAAAAAGAAAACCACAGGCCAAGCTCCTGAATGAATATACGTGCAAAAATCGTCAACAAGACACTGACAGACAGAATGAAGCAAACCATGAAAAAGATCATGCACCGTGGCCACATTGGCTTCAGCCCAGGGAGGCGAGGATGGTTTAATACACATACATTAATAAACATAATACACTACGTGAACAAAGACAAAAGTCACAAAATCAAGTGTTCCATATAACCAACAGTGAATCTGAGAAAAAAAATTAAGATTACAAAAATTATACACCTAATCAAGGAAATAAAAGTTTTATAATGAACACTATAAAATGCTGGAAAAAAAGAGACTAATGATGACATCAGAAAATGGAAAGCTGTCCCCTTTGCCTGGAGAGGCAGAACTAATATAGTCAAAATGGCCACATTACAAAAAATGATGCACATATTTAATGCAATCTCAATCGAAAGACCAACAGAATTCTTCAAAGAAAAAAACTGTCCTAAAACATATCCAACTAAAAACGGCCCAGAACACCAAAGGCAATCTTGGGTAACAAGAGCAAAGAAGGAGGCATCACAATTCTGGATTTCAAGTTATATTACAAATCTGTAAAGATTAAAAATAGCATAGCCAGGGATTTAGCTCAGTGGTTCCACTGCCTGCCTCACAAGTGCAAGGACCCAAGTTCGATCCCTGGTACAAAAAACAAAAACAAACAAACAAAACCCAGCATCGTTCTGGCACAAAAACACACATGTAGATCAATGGACTAAAACAGAGGAAACAGTAACAACCACACACATTCAGCCACTGATCACTGACAAAGGGCCAAAGACATAAATGGACAAAAGAAAGCCTAAAAAAAAAAAAAAAAAAAAAAAAAAAAAAAAAGAAAAGAAATGAGAAAGGTAAAATTACAACACTGCCAAAATTCAGACGCTTGCAGGAGCTATTTTGAAAATTTATATTCTAATAATTGGGGAAGCTAGATGAAACGGAGAAACTCCTACATGCATATGAATTATCAAAACTGAACCAAGAAGATATAAAACCTCTGAATAGACCTCTGTGATAGGCACTGAGAAAGAGGTGGTAATAACCCCCCCCCCCGACTGAGGAGAGCCCTGGAGCTGATGGAGTCCTTGCCAAGGTCCACCAGAACTTCAGGGCAGATGTAGCACAAGGACTCCAGTCCCATTCATGGAACTGAAAGGGAAGGGGCACCGCCAAACTCACGCTGGCAGCAAAACTGGACAAGGATTAGCAAAAAAGAAAACCACAGGCCAAGCTCCTGAATGAATATACGTGCAAAAATCGTCAACAAGACACTGACAGACAGAATGAAGCAAACCATGAAAAAGATCATGCACCGTGGCCACATTGGCTTCAGCCCAGGGAGGCGAGGATGGTTTAATACACATACATTAATAAACATAATACACTACGTGAACAAAGACAAAAGTCACAAAATCAAGTGTTCCATATAACCAACAGTGAATCTGAGAAAAAAAATTAAGATTACAAAAATTATACACCTAATCAAGGAAATAAAAGTTTTATAATGAACACTATAAAATGCTGGAAAAAAAGAGACTAATGATGACATCAGAAAATGGAAAGCTGTCCCCTTTGCCTGGAGAGGCAGAACTAATATAGTCAAAATGGCCACATTACAAAAAATGATGCACATATTTAATGCAATCTCAATCGAAAGACCAACAGAATTCTTCAAAGAAAAAAACTGTCCTAAAACATATCCAACTAAAAACGGCCCAGAACACCAAAGGCAATCTTGGGTAACAAGAGCAAAGAAGGAGGCATCACAATTCTGGATTTCAAGTTATATTACAAATCTGTAAAGATTAAAAATAGCATAGCCAGGGATTTAGCTCAGTGGTTCCACTGCCTGCCTCACAAGTGCAAGGACCCAAGTTCGATCCCTGGTACAAAAAACAAAAACAAACAAACAAAACCCAGCATCGTTCTGGCACAAAAACACACATGTAGATCAATGGACTAAAACAGAGGAAACAGTAACAACCACACACATTCAGCCACTGATCACTGACAAAGGGCCAAAGACATAAATGGACAAAAGAAAGCCTCTTCAGCAAATGGTGCTGGGAAAACCAGCTTTCCACATGCAGAAGGAATCTAGACCCATATCTCACCCGGTACTAAAATAAAATCAAAATGGATCAAAGACCTAAATATAAAGTAGAAACACTGAATCTGCTGGAAGATAAAATAGGTAAAATTCTTGAAGATGTAGGTGCAGGCAAGGCCTCCCTGGACAGAACCCCAGCAGTGTGTAAGAACACCAGCAATCACCGGAGCAACCGAGGGAGAAAAACTTCTGCACAGCACAGGAAACAGGTCACAGAGCGAAGACGTAACCTATGGAAAGGGGAAGGCTTTTGCCAGCCACTTCAGGGAGAGCGGACTAGTATGGAGACCATATAAAGAACTAAAAATTTAGACTCCTCTCCCCCAATGTAAGATCCAATAAAAAAATGGGCAACTGAGACGAACAGACAATTCTCAGAAGGACAACGGAATGCACAAACCTGTGCTCAACATCTCTGGCCACCAGAGACACGCAAATCAGAGCAACACTGAGATTCCATCTATCAAGAAATCAAACAACAAATACTGGTGAGGCTGCAGGAAAAAGGATCCCTTTACATTCCCAGTGCGGGTGGAGTGTAAAATGGTACAACCACTATGAGAGGCACTATGGAGACTCCTCAAAAAAGTAACTAGAAATGCCATTTGACCCGATTACCTCCATCTAGGTCTCTTCCTGAAAGAGTTAAAGGAGTCATGTTACAGCGATATATGCACACAATGTCTACAGCAGAATTTCCAAGAACTAAGTCATGGAAGCGACCCCTATGCCCATCAACAGGTGAACGGATAAAGAAAATGTGGTATTTATATACAACGGGGCACTGCTCAGCCATTAAGAATAAACCTGAGTCATTTGTAGGAAAATGGATGCACTTTAAATGAACCAATAAGACAAAGGAGGTTAAATATTGCATTGTTTCTCTTATATGAGAAACCAAAATAGAAATGAAGAGCAAAGTAAAAGATGATAGGCAGCAGGGAGGTAGACTTTGTGGATATGGAAGGGAATCGAAGGACAGGAAAGACGCGAGGGGTAGAAGGGGAAGCAAAATCGATCCGACCTTAACCTGACAAGGATGAACCCGGAGGTCTAGGAGTTAGACCACCCGGAGCTGCCTGTCTAGGGTAACGGCCCTGCCCTTCATGGCCAGCACTGGCGGACGCAGACAGTGGCGTGAACGGAAGCCTGCAGCGGGCGGGCTCACGGGACCAAGTCCTGCCACCCACACGGACAAGCTGCTGAGAACTCCTGAAAAGGTCCTGACAAAGCAGACGGATGGCTGCGCCACACCTGACTCCTGCACCCCTTGTCCTGGTTCAATCCCAGGTCTTAAAACCCCACACCATCTTGGACCGGAGTCGGCCCTGGACGTCCCAGCTGCCGTGGAGGATGGGAGGAGGAGGAAGCCGAAGCAGCCCGGATGGTTCCCCCAACATAAATGCCAGGAGCTGCTAAGGCAGAGCTGTCTCACGCGCGACACGGAGGACCCACTGTGTTGAAGCCACTGTTACGGGGGCGCATTGTGACTCCTGACTGAAAGAGGCCTCCTCCAAAAGGCCGCTGCCCTGGGACCACGCACGGAGGGGCAGGGCACCTTGTTCTGGAGCACAGCAGCGAGGTGAGGGTTGCAGGGCGCTGGGGCGGCTGCACTCTGAGGTAGATTCATCAGCTGCTGCAGAAGGCTCGTGACGGTCAGCGGTGGAAGATGATAGAGGAGGACAGAGAAGGGACTCAGCAGGCACGGCAGTACCTGCGGAGAAAACCCACAGCAGAGCGTTACACCCTCTAGCCTGCTCTGCCTGCCTCAGTCAGGGCACGGTGGGTGGGACGCAGGGCTGTGCTTGCTCTTGGGCGGGCTCAGGAAGGAGGATATGCTAGGCTGGCGGCTGGGACCCTGCTCCCGTGTGCGCCGGATACCCTGAGACTCGTGAGAACCGAGGGCGAACTCCTCACTCCCTTCCCAGGGACCAAGGCCAGCACTGCAGCTCATTCCACAAATATTTAACTGCTGTCAGGAAGATGAAGTGCATGGGGAGGCGGGAAACTGAGGAAGCAGTCTAGGGGCTGCAGAGTGCTGCACGATTACCGAGAAAGATTTTCAGACCGCATCGTACCTGGCTTATGCTTTGTACAGCTCAGGGACGAAATGTAGAAATGATACTTATTAGGGAAGCTCGGGAGCAGAGCTACATAGCAGGTAGCTAAAACCAGAAGCTGGGGGTGCTTCCTCCTTTGTGTCATGTAGCACAGACTAGGTTAAAGTAGACACCGACGGAACCAGGTTGTACAACACACAGGAAGTCAGTACCTGTTTCATGGAAAAGCTGAAGTGATATTTAAATGGCACACAAGGATGGGACTCCACCCCTTTTGTGGCCTAAGTAAATGTGCTATTAGTCATTTATAACAATATGTAAGGTACAAAGAACAGCTAACCCAAACCCTACAGCCAAATTACCAGCGTTCTTTCACTCAGCAAACCTGCGCTCCTCCTTTAGCAGGGAAGATTCACCCAGGTTACTTCCATCTGCACCGCTAACAAAATCTCTCACAACGCTACACCTCAGAAAATCAACAATAACTTCTTAGTGTCCACTAATGTCTACTCCAAGTTCCAATTTTCTCCAACTGTCTCAAATACATCTTTTGGCAGCCGATTTGTCTGAATTCTGATTCAAACAAGTGCCATGCTATGCACTTGGCCGAGAGGCTTTAAAATCCCTAAGAGGTCCTTAGCCACAAGCTGTCTCCTCTTCTTACGCCCTTTATCTGTTGAACAAGCCACGGGTCATTTGGTCCCTAGCTTGGATCTGGCCAACTATGCCTATGTGGCTTCCGTTCCACAGGTCCCGCTGCCCACGGCTCTTTCCCCACTCACTGCCGTGAATTACAAGGGTGATCGGCTTTAGGTTCCGTGGTGGGGAGGGGCGAGCCGTGTGCTTTTCCGTGCATTGTCAGGGAGCGCACCAAGTGAGAGGCTAACTGTACAATTTCCCATCCACTTCTTACCCAGTGCTTCTCGCAGCCAGTAAGGATCACTGTCTAGATTATTTTTCCATTAAAGCTTACGATATGGTTATTTTCTACTTTTGCTTTCTTGTACTTGCTGAACTTCTATCAAGAAGTTTGTATTACCAACTTGTCAGTTACCATGACTTCTGCTTATAATGGAAAGGCAGGATAAATGCTTGACATTCTTCCTTTACTTACCAGTTTCAGGATGAGTAGATGGCTTAGCAATCTCAAAGGTGATCAACGTACTGCTGATATCATTATGAGTTCATTAAATTGAACACATTTATTTTAGGCCACTACTGTAATTTTCTTGATGCAAATTACACTATTTTTAGTTAACAGGAGCCTGGTCAGATTAAACCAACTTTTGGCGGCGCCTCCCAAGGGTCCTAGAAATCGAACACTTAACTTGCTTATTTTTTTCCTTCAGTTTTTTTGAGGTAAGGTCTCTCTCTGCAGTTCAGGCTGGCCTGGACATCCTCTGTGACACGCCTCACATCCTAAGTGCTGGGATTTCAGGCGTGTGCCACCTCACTCAGCTACTTTGCTTGCTTTTGACACAAAACACTCTAGGGTTATTCTGTACATTTTGGGCCTCAGACCTGGAACCAGCTGTAACTTCCAGAAAATGGTTTTCAGAGACACATTCTACTTTCTTTAATGCACAAAGTTTAGAAAGTTGGCCTCTATGATTAACCATGTTTTGCTCACTGCAGATGAGCACCAGAAAGGCAGGCTTTTTTGTGTCCCTGGCCTTGGGCACCTAGAACAAGGTGATGAATTTCCAAGTTCTGAACTAGAGCCTGGTACTGAGTAGTACTATATTCAATACAATCTGCTCTAGAATTGCTGTAATTTTTCAATCTGGTCTTCTATCTTTTAGGACCTCAACTCATTAAATTTTCCTTTGATCTATTTTTCATTCTTGGAGTCTTTGAAAAATACTCTTGTCTCATTCTACTGTCATTTTCTAATAAGACCTAAATTTATTTAGTTTTCTATCTGCTAAAATTTCAAGGGTCCACAGAAGGAGTAATTTCCAACTCTTTCATTCACCACTTACAAGGGACCCAGCACCCTGCTTTTCTCTGGACTAATCACCCAGATAGTTATTGTAGTGGACAATAGATTGGTTCACATGTATTTTATCATTCTGAATCTCTCGCTTAACATTTGTCCTTTCTGCTACCTTTATCAATTTCTTGTTTCAAACTTCCTAAGAGTATTGTAAAATTTGCTAGTTTTTCAAGAGGTGTGACAAGGATCAGCAAATGTCAAGAGAAATTTGTAAATTCGATGATGGTCATTTTAAATGTCAGACTAGTTTAAATCATACAGTTGAACCCTGGTCTGACTCTTGTGGGACACCTTTCCAGCAGGGCTACTGGCCTGCTGACAAAGGTCCAGTGAATGATGCTTTATACCCACGAAAGAGCCAAGACAAGGACCCGATTCAGCCGAATTACCTCGTTAAAAATACAAAAGCCCTGATTCATCTTCTACACACTGATTCAGCGTTCTGAGGGAGGGCCAAGTTATTTTATTTCCCAAGCGATTCTGTTAACAGATTGCATCTCCACGACTGTGTCAAGCAGGGTGGACTGTTGATTTCCGCATGTTTAGGGACAAAAACTACTCAACCAGATGTGGGACTCAAAGTAACAGTCATGGAATATTAAGGTTTTTGCTTTAGTCAAATCGTATGGCCAAAGTCTAGACAAAGCAAGACAAAAGGGAGGAGAGGAAGAAGTTTGGATTCTTGCAATCTTATCAGTTATGGAGCCAATTCTGAGGAAAGACGTCCCACATGGTGATCACCTCATCTTGTGCGTCCTTCTTGATGAGGAAAGGGAGGTTCCGAGCGGTCGTCATGAGGACGTCAGCCGCCTGCTCTGTGGAGAGGAAGGGGAGGATGCGGGCGACCATTCTCTTCCCTTTCCGGATGGACATGATCTGCACAAAGTGGTCGTCACTGGGCCTGCAGGGGACAGACACAGCCTGAGGTCAGGAGAGCAGCGGGCCCTCGTCTTTATTCCCTGGCCGACGCTGCTGATGGACACAGTACACTGCTCTTCACACACTGGTACCCTCCAGCTCCACCCACAGCAAAAAGTCCAATCTCAAGATTCGCAAATGTGGCTACTAATCATCGTTTCACAAGTCACGCACCAAGCACACGTGTGATTCCCATGATTAACTTTTTTTTGGTACCATGGATTGAACTCATGAGGCAAGCATGGTGCTGCTGAGCTAAATCCCCAGTGGGTACCGGGTATCGAACTCAGGACCTTGCGCTTGTGAGGCAGGCGGTGGTGCCGCTGATCTAAATCCCTGGTCCTCATGACTAAACTTTTAAGTGACTTACAAAAATACTACGGAGTTAAAAAAACAGTATCTGAAAATATATAAGCAAAATACAATACAAACATTCATAACCTGACCTGAGTTGATTTTAAGAGTTAACATTTTGAAGAGCTTTTTTCTTTTATAAAACAACAGGCCCACAGAGCTCTTATGGCTGTGTAACTGGGTGTTTTTTATTGTGAAAACTCTTCTGTGTTAATAAATGTACTTCACTTATTCGCATCTAAAAGGCTGCACACTGTGTCAACTTGTGGAGAGACTGCATTTACTCCCCGTGTGCCTGCTCTACAGAGCATGTGTGGGAAAGGAAGCGCTTGTCCTACCCTCGAAGAACCAAGAGTTTCAGGACAAAGCGGTGGAGAGGGATGGATGGGCAATAGATGCATGCGTTTAGGGTTTTAGAATGGCCATTGTCAGCGGGTTTCTGTTCCGGTAATGGGGAGACGTAGACATAGACACAGACATAGACACACAAAGTTAAGGCATGGTCTCCATGGACATGGTTCCCAGACATGCACATTCTCTGGAAATCCTGAGGACACAGAAATGTTTATAGTCCCCATCTCAGTAGGAAAGCAGATACCTAAAGATTACAAGGCTGAGGGCTAGGCATGGTGGTTCACGCCTGTAATCCTAGCACTTGGGAGGCTGAGGCAGGAGGACTGCTATGAGTTTGAGGCCAGCCTGAACTACATAGTGGGATCCTGTCTCAAAATACACCCCCCCAAAAAAAAAGGATCACAAAGTTGAACATACTAATAATCATAAACCAGATACAACTTAATAGCCCCAAAACAAATCCAACAACATTCCCTGAGGAATCTCTGACACCCAGCGTGGTAGGTGCTATATTTGTTGAATTCAGGATAACAAGTTTTTTCTCCCCCTGGCCAGGAAGGGTTACAAACATTTTACATGAAATGCTACTGGGTTTGGCTGAAAAGGTATATTCTGGGCTTAGAGAGGAAGTAGGGAGAGGCAGAAAGGGCAAAGCTTGGTTGGTGAGGAGTCAGTTGCGGCGCGTTCCCCTCTCCCACACGGTGCCCACCTGTCCTGCCCAGGCAGCTTGCCCCGCAAGTTGTCGTACATGCCACAGACTTTGTGCTTTCTTTCGTCCGCCAGGGCAGGCCGGTCCTCTTCTAGGCTCAGGAGGTAACGCCGCTCGTAATCCTCCACGTCCAGGAGTAGACTGTAGGTCTGAGGAGACACAAGGTGGCCACAGCAGCCAGGTCAGGCTGGCAGAGGACGTGTGCTAAAGCCACAGTTCAGGATGAACTGCTGCAGAGCCGAGGGCTAAAATGCACAGTGAACTTGAAATTAAGAAAAAACCTGCTCTTTAAAATGCAGAAAACTAGAAGCAACTTAACCAACTCTTCAGGCACCATTCTTCATTGCCCCCTGACCTAACAGCTGAAGACAGTGAAATAATTACTTTCCAAATGGTCCAGCAGCAACACCAGAGCCACAACTGAGACACTTTGCACTACTGCCCAAGGACACCTTGTATCTGTGGAAACGTCCGGAGTGGACTCTCCTAGGGGTGCACTGTGTACCCGCTGCACCTCGGTGAGAAAAATGCCATCAGCATCTCCATTTTTCAGGCAGAAACAGCAGCAAAGGAGCCAGCCCCACTCCTAAGCCCGAGTTAGGCCTGTAACACACGGTTGGCTGAGGCAGGAGTATCCCAAGTTCAAGCCCAGTCTAGACAATCCAGCAAGACCCTGCCTTAAAAGAAAAAGTGGGCTGGGGGATGTAGCATGGGGCAAAGGCCCTGGGTTCCATCCATAAAAGCAAGCAAGCAAACAAACAAAACCAAAAAACAACTTACCCCAAGTCACAAATTCACTCAGAAACGGAAAACATGATTTACAGCCTGAAGAGTTGGTGTTCTAATCAACTGTGTCCTACGGTTCTGCAACATTGCATGTTTTTATAAACCAACTGCCAAGCTGGGCAGGGTGTCGCGATCTGTAATCCCAGCACTCAGGAGGCTTAGGTAGATCGAGGCCAGCCTAGGCTGCATAGTGAGTTCAAGGCCAGCCTGAACTACACAGCAAGCCCCCATTCTCAAAAATACAAAACAAACAAAAAAACCCGACTGGCCAATGTGTGTGCACATCATCCTTTTCCTCTGCACTGGGAATGTCCAGCATTTATTACCTGTGAACTCACTTAACTGACTTAATCAATAGGCAAAGCAATGTAATGTTTACTCCCACTTTGCCAGGTTGGAAAGCTGACCTTCCCAGACACACTCAGCTCCTAAGTGGACCTGAGCAGAACCCCCACATCTCCAGCCTGAACCCCAGCACGCCCCAGCAAGAGGCACCACCAGCCTTCCATGTGCTCGCAACACAGCAGGCGCCTTCCAAGACTGCACACCCAACTGAATCAGGCAGCAACGCTTCACTGCTGCTCTGCATGTTTTGGGTCCAAAGCCCAGGCAAACCCGAAACCCGAGCAAGAAGTTCTAAACCTTACTTTCTCAATTATGACAAGTGTTTTTCTTCTCTTGTCTCGAACTTGTTTTTCTTTTGTCTCCTAAAAAAGACAAGAATATTCAGTGTCAACTCCACCTCTGCCAGGAACAAATCACCAGCTGTGCATCTGTAGGGTCGATTGTTAAAATGTGAAGATGTGAAAATCATCTTGACTTTCCAAAACTCCAAACAATGCTCTGACAAAGGTCAATTGAGGTGCTCACGAACTATGAAACTGAACTCAGATTCTGAAAGTGATTCCCGAGTACAAAGGAGAATGAAGGGATCGGGAAAATCTGAAAACGCACAGAAAATACAGTAGTAACTGGTTTTAAAGAGCAAACAGGAGTCAGCAGATGCTGTTGGTGGCTGGAGAGCTCCACCCTGGCCCTGACCGGCGGTGCTAATACCTGAGCGCATCCGAGGGAATTTAGGACGACAGGAGGCACTGGCCCCGCCACACCTGGGCTCGGCCCATAGTGGACCCAGGAGAGCTGGCGACAGCTCACATGCTCGCAAAACACAAATCTGTGCACTCACGTCGTCCTCACTCCGCGCTGGCACCACGGCATCAATCATTTTTCGAGGATTATTCACACTGGAGACGGTGAGCTTCCCCAGAGAGCCCTCGAACTGCACTGCAAGGACAAAGGCGACGACAGAATAAAAACTCAGCAATGCCAGGAGGCAGCATTTAAAGATCATTACTTTCTGTTCTTCATTAGTGGTTTACTAATTTACTATGAAAATCAATTATCAGAAATATACCCTTTTTCATCTTTTAGCTGTAATAACTATGCAGAAAACTAAAGGAGTCCCCCTTATCTATTTTAGAGGCAGTTAACCCTGTAACAGGCCCAAGGGAACGATGGAATCTCAATAAAGGGCCCTGAAGGCCGATCCTGCATGGCCTGCTGCGAATCCCTGCCAGCACCTCCGCCCTCCTGCGGGCTGGCTCACCCGGCTTGTAGGCGTGCTCCAGCTTGGCCACCTGCGGGGTGATGAGCTTGGTGCGCTCCTTTTTAGGGCCGTCACCTTGCATTTCTTCAGCAGCAGACAGTTTCTCCAGTTTCTCAAAGTAATTCTGCCACACGAGAAGACGGTCAGCTCCACAACATGCGGAGGCAGCGGCTGCCCTCGCTGTCACATGACTAATCTACACCACGGGCAGCAACATGACTTCAATACTAAAGATGTGCACACTTTGCTTTATTTGCAGGGCCAGGGATCAAGCTCAGGGCCCTGTCCACGACAAGCAGGTGTTCTACCATTGCTTTGCAGCTCACTTTTCCCACATGTGGGTACACGGACCCCGTGATGAATGTTATCGTTATATTTAAAATGTACCAATAAAAGAATGCATACAGGAAGATGTTGGAAAAAAACCAAAAAAACCAAACCCAAACTCTAGCAACAAAGTCCAAAACTCCAGCCCCATGTCTAGTTTTTGTTAGATTGCTATAAATTCTCTTTATTGAACAGCCCTAGCCTTTGGTCTAGGGGTGTCTGCAGCTCAGGGTCGTGGCATGACTGAGGCCTAGGGTTCAATCCACAGGACCATACAGTCCTTCCTGTCAAAATACACAAAAGCCTCCCCCAAATCCTCAGCCTTCCAAAATGTTACTCAATGGAGATTTCTTCAGTTCAGACTTGCCATAATTCTTAATCAGGCTACTGATGCTGAAGGGGACTGAAAGCGCTGCTTTGAGAGCAGACAGCTTGAGTTTCTGCCTTAAAAAGACAGAATTTGCTTAGCCTGTTTCATGGCCAATTCTGCCAGTATTTATGTGAACATCCTCATTAGTGAAAGGGGTCAAACTGTTGTTCTCAAAACTAGCACCGAGGACTCACCTGGTAATAGAAATCATCCAGGTAGGGGTCAGTGCTCTGCAGCTGCATCATCTGGATTTTAGAGACCCAGTCCTTTTCCCGCTGCAGCATGAGGTTGGCATAGGGGTCCTTCCGGAGGTGATCCTGCTGACTGCTCCGGTGACCCCCTCTGTCTCCAGTACCATTGAGGTTCCGATGTTGACTGAAAAACAAGGGGTACATGAGCCATGCCTTTCAGCAATACGGGAGTAAAACATGGCAGTGGTTTGCTCTGCTGGAGGAGGGAAAAAGAACTGAATCTTCGGAGTGTAAAAGAAGAGAGGTCTACCATGACAATCAAGGAAATGAAACCAGGATCTGAGTCCCATGTGCTCGGCACATTCATCTGCAGACTTCCGCACCAGCTCTAGCACTCCTGTGACAGGCGTTTCCTTTGCTCCATTTGAAGGCAACAAACCGCAGCCAACAGCAATCAGAGGCATCCCATGCAGAGTGGGGTTCCTATACAGAGCCAACTGTGAGATCTAGCTCACTGAAAATCACAAAATATCTACCCGCTATCAAGGCTTAGTGGAGAAATCTGGCCACATTGCTTGACTATTACACATTATTAAAGTACTATGCTGACTGAAGGCCCTCTGGTACCCTCTGGACTGGTATCTTTACTTTTCTGGTATCTTTACTGCTGGCGATGGAAGCCAGGGCCTCACTAAGCGAGGCAAATGCTCTACCACCAAGCCACCACCTCACACAGGCGCCTCAAGAGCAACCCCTATTCCGCCCGATAGGAATCTTCCCCCAAATCTATTTACAGGTGAATTACTCGTGTCTATCTTCCCGCCAAGCAGGAATCCTCGTCAAATGTTTTCATACCTGTATTACTCATGTGCCTTCTACCATTCCTGTATGACTTTAAATTTTCCATCAATGGTAGTAGATGTACTTCTGCTCCTTGCTTCTTTACCCAGTACTATGCTTTTCATGTTTTTTGATGTTTCTAATATACCCTGAAAAACAGAACTGCTAGGATGTGGCAGAACCACATTTTCAACTTTCATTACCTACGGCCAAATTCTCTCGAGAAGCTGTATACTGCAGCCTTGCCAAAAGCAAGTGGTGAGACACTTGGTGTCTGGCCTGATGGCGAGTGGCTGTCCGAGCCTCATATGCATGCTTCCACCAGGAGTGAGCCCGAACATCTTTTCATCTTTAAGACCACCTGGGTTTCTCCCACAAGAGTTACATGTCTACGAATGTCTTTTGTTATACAGAGGTTTCATAATTTTGTTTTCCATACCAGCAATTGAACCCAGGACCTTGAGCTTGTGAGGCATGCGTGGCGCTGCTGAGCTAAATTCCTGGCCTCGAGGTTTAATATTTTAGTATATGTGTTGCCAAAGTGAGCGCCAAGTTTAATATTTTAATAGAGTCAAATGCATTACTCTTTCCCTAAGTACCTGGTACTTTTTAAGTCTTGTATGAGACTCCACCTCCATGCTGGTTCTTCTTTTCCCCTGCAAATATAATTCCAAGGTATTTCTGAAAGTGAGAAGGAATCACACACGCTCACAGAAAAATAAAATTGGTGGGTGAAGAAACCTCAGTTATGTTTAGTTCCCTTATTTGATATAGCAGCATAATTATAGAATTACTTTATATAGACCGTGAAGGCAGAGGCTTTATCTGTCCTGTTCTTTTGTAAATCCTCACAACCTATCACGGTGTCTGGTACACAGCTGGGGCCACATACATACGTATTTATATTTACTGAATAAGGATCATACAACTTGAGGTAAAAGTAAAAGAACGGCCACTACTATGTTCACATGAGACCTGAATGCAAGGGTGGCCGCTGCATTTTAAGACCACCTCTGAGCCAAGACAACAAGGAGTAGAAAATGCTTCCTGAAGAAAAATCACAGCTCAACTTTAATTCTGATATGTGATCAAAAGAAGTGTGATAGGCTGGAAACTCACTGATAACTTGATTAGAAAGTAGTGTATGAAAACCACAAAATGAGAGCACTTATGACACGAATTCACCATGGAGCGAAATAAGCTCCATACTAAAGAAACACGAAGAAAGCAAACTGAGTGGACGGCGTCCTTCTGCCTCGTCAGAGAAATCAGAGGGGTGGGCACTCACTTCCGGTTCTGCTGCTGCCTCTGATGCAGGAGTCGCCGGTGTTGGGGGTGAAGGTGAGTCGTGTCTGCTCTAAACATCGGGGCCTGAGACCTAAGGAAAAGGAAAAGGAAACGGGGTTCTCAACTCTGCCACACCGAGGATGTGAAACTGTGAAAAAGCCAGTACGGAGTAACTTTGCAGGCTTGTTTGTGGGATTGGGCAGTCTGTTCTAAAGAGACTCTCACAGCAAAAGAAATGTCATTTTAACACATCTTCACAAAGACCAGTTCTGAGCTCCTGAGAGGACAGTCACGAAAATTCAGGGCATTAGTAATAAACAATGTGTCATTTTTCAGGGAATAGGAATCTGTAAATGGGTTTAATGTACTCAGCTTTGTACAAGAATGATAGAAAAAATATGTGGGTGAGGGTTAACTTCATGCTGGCCTGGCTTTGCTATAGCACCGTTATTTGATTAGAGCCTGGTGTAGATGCTGCTGTGAAAGCGCTTTACACACGTGATCAGTATTTACCATTAACTGGCTCTGAGAGAGACCGTGCTCCAAACCTCTAGTGTGGGCAGCCCCTGCCCCACAGGGTACAGGCTTGAAGAAGACACACCTAAGTGTCTCCAGGAAGACTGCATCACAACACAGAAGGCCTGCCGAGTCTCCAGCCTGCTGCTTGCCATGTATTTCTAGCTCAAGTTGCCGCCTTCACCTCTCACAATGTCTGCGGCCGGCTGCCGGCCAGGTACTTATGAGTTGCCAGCCTCAGGACCACCCCAGTCAACTCCTTAAAACAAACCCTTTCCATTTATGTATCTTCTATTGATTGTCTCCCTTGGGAACCCTTTTATGATATATACAACGTAACAAATTTGCCAAAGGAGGAACTGGAACCCCTTGTTACAAACCAGAGGGTAGATGGAGACAGCCTGGCTAGCGCAGGGGTTAGCTAGCTACTTCTTGAGCATCGCTCTCTCAGCTCCCCGGTTCCTAAGGGATCAGCACCGTGTATGTGTCAGATGAACACCAAGGGAGACACAACTAATTTTAGAAGAAGTAACAGGTAATTAACTTGCACCGTGCACAGGAAGCACAAAGCTCTTGAGGGAAATACAAGAAAGCCCACAGACTGTCAAACATTTTCCTGATTGCCAAATTGGAGATCCAAACGCATCCTCAAGTATCTCACTTGGCAAAGGCATGAGAAAACTAAGAGGTCCAGCCGGGGACAGGCGCGCCCGCTTCTGCTGCTGTACCGTAGGGTTTGCAGGTGAGGCCCCGGGCCGGGCGGAGGCGGCGTGGTGGGGGCCGGGGCACTGAGGAAGGCACGGAAGCCAGGCGCCGGAGGGAGCATCTGCCCAACTCTGCCTTGCAGCAGCTTGGGGTTCATGGCAGCAAGAGGGCTCCCGACGAACCCAGGAACTCGTGCGAACTGGCTGGGAGACATCCGTCCAGGCTGCAGCTGCAAACAGGACAAGAGCTTAGGGCCAAGCAGTCCAGAAGACCCCTGCTCCCAACCATGGCAAAGTGAAGACTGTTCCCATCCATCACCGTGTGGAAACGGAGAAGAAACCAGACGGCAAGGGTTCCCCGTGGAGAAGGGGCTCGCGTCCACGCAGGACAGCAGGAGTTCCTTCCGGTGGGTCCCGCACACGCTTACCTGAGCTCCTCCAAGAAGCTGTGCTCTCTGGAGGGGGCTGAGAACAGGAGGGACGCTAGGAGGAAAAGGGTGGCCCAGCAGGGAAGAATTCTACAACAAAAAAGAGAAAATTATATCCATATGACGAGACAGGTTATTCAGTGTGGATGCTCAGAAGAAACGCAGTATAAACTTGGATATAAAAACTCAAAACAGCAGAGCTTTCTACTGAAGGAATATAAAGAAGTAACGCTAGAAACGACGACCAAGAAATATGAAAAAATAAGAGGAAAAAAAAGAAAGCAAAACACCGAGGAACTACAGTAGTAGGAAGGAAGCTGATGAGAACGAGCTTTGTTTGTTTTAAGAAAAGAGTAACAAGTGCACTAGGTATTCTGACCCGGGGATCCAGAAATTCAAGTAAGTACAGAGGTTGTTTTAAAGAAAGGATAAATGACACTCAGGAGATGTCAGCACTTCTGTGTCCTAGCAGTGATCACACAGGCAGGGACCATTCTGTCGGGCTGTACCGTGACATACCGGGACACTGCAGAGCTGGTTAGGAGACATCCTCTCGCCATAGGGAGCAGGATAACGTGGTGGCATCGGGGGCCGGATGTGGACAGGCTTCGGACACAGAATCTATGAGGACAAACATATGTACAACTGCACTCAATGAAATCAGCTCCTCTTCCCCCGCACGCCCTCCCCTCCAGGACTGGCAGAGACACAGAACTCAACGCAAAGCCCTACCTCTAAGCCAATTGCTATGGCTACAAGTTCAGACACAGAGCCTCCGGTCACTTCCTCTCAGTGTCACTGTAACTGAGGAAGATGCGCCTAACTGTCCAACTGTCCCCACCCTTCCATGCTACCTGAGGGAGGGACCAGATGATGTTCTGACCTGCACATTCTCTCCAAGAGGATCTGTTTGGTAGCAGTGAGGGACATGGAATGGTAAGAAAGCTGGAGGAGGAGCTAGGTCCTATTCCAAGGCCTTGTGATACGGCCGCCATGCTCAGCACTGCCGTGATATGTATGACTCCACCGTGTCATAGGCCGGGAGCCTAACTAGGCCGTTCCAACACCACCCTCCCCCCATACCTTCCAAATTGGCCTTCCTTTTCAGCTGCTGGTTTCAGGTGGAGGAAAGTCTATGGAACAGGACTGCACAGGCTCTAGGGAAAGCAGGGATATCTTAAAGGTAAAAAGGGGTGTGGACAATGCTGAGTGTTCCCACTCCCCCCAGCTTTCGCTTCTCTCTCCGCCAGTGTGCAGGGCAGCCAGAAACAGTCCACAGAGGACGTCTGCACAGATGTGGGCACTACCCTTGTCTCCCCCAGTGAAAAGGCAGCAGCAACAACAGCAGCAAAGGTACTAGGGACTGTGTCTCTCCTTACTAACATCTCCGCTAACGGCTACTTTTCTCTCTAATCTAATGCCTACCCCGAACTTCCCCCTCCTCCCAGCATCGCCCATTTCCCGAGTAATCGTGCCCAGATTCCCAGTGTCCTGGGCTGGGTGCCTGTTAAAGAGAGGTACCTGTTGGTTAAAGCTGGGCACAGCCATCTGCTTAGGTGGGGTGCCGATGGGGACAGCTCGCACAGGCGGACTCCCGATGACAGGTGACGTCGACCGCCGCGGCAGTGCGCGCTCCGAGAGGTCCCGCCCGTCCTCCGGGCCCTGCGGGGGCCTCTGCAGCAAGGCATACTCCAGCACAGACACCGTGGGCACTTCCTGAGCACGGAAGCGGGTAAGAAGCGGACTGAAAACAGCTACCTGGAAATGCTGTATCAATAATTTTGACAGCTGCTGAAAATATCTTGAGCAATTACTCAAAACAAATTTCCTTAGATGTATAGTAAAATCCGCCTGTTTTGGTACATAATTGAGTTTTGTCAAATACGCAGAATAATGGACCTGCCACCACAATGAAGACACCGCAGTCTGACACTCGCCTAACGCCTCCGTGTTGTCCCTCTACAGTCAACAACGTGCACCACATCCCATCACTGGCAGGCCCTTATCTCTTTCTTCTCTGCCCCTAGAGTTCTGCCAGGACGTTTTAAGTCACTCGAGCCACACGCTGACCGAGAGGGGAGCTCTAGCTGCTCCCTTTCAAGTCCTCCCCGGGGGTTCAGGCTGTGTATGTACTGCAGGCAGCAGCAGACACGGTGCTGGCCAATGATGTAAGCCTATGTGTGCTTACAGTAAGGGAGGGCACCACAGGCGCCAACTTAACATCCTGGATACTGCAGAGAGCCCCCGCAATACCTGAGCAAGCAGCGGTCCTCGGATTCGCCTCAGAACTTCGGATCCATCCCAGATGCTGGAATTCAGACTTCCTGGTTGAGGCTACCGGAAAAGGAGAACAGGCGCACAAAGTCTGGAATCATGTAGCTCTCAGAATGACTCATTTGCTGTTGGGGATCACAGGTCCAAAAGAGCCTCAACTACTTTTTTAAAGACATGGTCTCGCTATGCAGTTCAGGCTGTCCGCTAACTCAAGGTGATCCTCCTGCCTCAGCTTCGCGAGTGCTGGGATGACAGGTGTGTGCCACCACACCCTGTTTTCAACTACTCGAGCATAAGAAGTGACAGGGCTCCAGAGTGCACACGATTCTCTAACTTTACCTTCTAGGGTTGCTATCGGCCGAAATTGTATTATCAGCTTTCCAAGGCACATGTAATTTGTAAAGGCAAAGCTTAACAGCTGACTCTTAATTAGTCTCTTTAGTTCTCAAACCAGGGTAACTTACTCACTTGCAAAACCGGCCTAGTCTGCACTGCTCTCATGATAGCGGGATCTTCTAGCTCGTTCTCGATCACCATCTTGCTGAGCCTTTCAGCCAGGTTCTCTTCGTGGTCACCCAGCAGGTCCATCTCATCCCTCTCCCCATTGCCCGCTGGCTCACTGGCTGCCGCCGGCAGCTTCTCTTCCAGCTCGGCCAGGCGCTCGTGCGCTTCCTGCCAGTCGTCATCTGGAAGAGTGCAGCTCAGGTCAGAAGCAGTGACACCAAGACCCAGGGGGCTCATGAGATCCTCCTGTTCACTGGACACATGCTCCCAACTTGGGAGATGGGTGGGAAGTTCATTTTCCACTTAGAAATAAGTTTAAACGAAGGGACAACAAGTGGGCTTTTCACTATGAAGGGCAAAAAGTCTACCAGGAGTAAAAGTGAAGCATTTGGGTCAATAACCCACACCACCATCGCGGTGTCCCAACTACACTGGGGCTGATGTCCAAGCCAGTGACGCACGTGTACACTGCCACCTGTGTCTGTATTCTGCTCTGCACAGCTCTCCTTCCATCTCCATGGAGAGTGCACGGCATCCTGGATCCTGTCACCCTCTTGGATCCTCTCGTCCCTGAACGAAGGCTCGACTACAAATGGTCTTTAATTCCCCCTGCAATGAGTCTAGCTTCTACTTTTGACATTTCTCTTGCTGCTCTTTGTGAGGGCAGTTTCTTTTTCCTTTTTTCTGGTACCAGGGATTGAACTTAGGACCCTATACCTGCAAGGCAGGCACGGTTCCATGGAGCTAAAATCCTGGGCCCTGTGAGGACAGTTTTAGTTCTCTATGGAATCCTGAAAATCCTGACTGCAGTGACAAATTTTTCACCTCAGCCAGCTCACTCATCTCTGGGCAAGTGTTAACAACTGTAAGCTGTTTGCTCACTGCAAAACCAGTACCTATCAGAGCACCTGATGATACTGACTTGTTTTTGCTACTGAGCCTCTTGGAATCATTCACACTGCTCAATCTTCTGTTTCAGCTTAACTGTGAGCACTGATGTAAGATGGACGTGCTGCAGTTCCAAAGAAATCACACATACTTACCCCAACACGAATACCGAGACTGCAGCTTTACGATGCCAAGTCAAAGCAAAAATACCTGCACTGACTCTTACCTAGTCATTTTTTTTAAAAAGTACACATTTTATTAGTCTACTTGCTCCAAAGTTATTCTAAGTAAATTTGTTCTCCAATTTTATCATTAGGATTGCTTTGTCAACTTTTCATCTCAGCACTTAAGCTCTGGCTTTAAGTCCAATTTAGCTTTTACACCTTTCAACTTCTATACTTTTCTGTATCTTGGGATGGGGAAAATTTCACCTGTAAGTTAAGAAGACTTCCTAGCACCACCACTCCTGCCATATAAGCTGTCTTACTGAAGATACTCTAAGATAACCAATGGCTGTGGAATGTAGTATCGGCGGGCGGAATTTTCAAACACACACATGCCCACACACTAGAACCTGGATTTCCACCAGTCTGATAAAGTTGTGTACCCTGCCATTAAACTTTTCCTCACCTAGGAATATCTCTTTTAAAAGTCCACTTCCCTAAACATTTGAATTCCTTAGTAGTGGTAGCCGAATGGCGGAGATCACAGAGCTGAGAGGCACAGGACTTAGAGAAGAGGCCCCAGCCTTGTGGTACCCGAGAACGGTTTCACAGAAGACAATTTTTCAGGGTAGGGGTGAGGATATGGTTTGGGATGATTCAAAGAAGCTTGCAACCTACAGCCCTTGTACGCGCAATGAGGGCTGGGTTCAAGCTCCCTGAGTCTGATGCCACAGGTCTGACAGGAGGTGGAGCCCAGGTGCTGACAGCAATGCGAGCCCCTTTCCTGCCACTCATCTCCTGTTGTGTCTCGGGCTTCCAAACAGGCTACCAACAGCTATCAGGGTTGGGGGACCCCTCACTCAAAGAACCATGGCTTTATGGCAGCAAAAGACACCCAGAGTTGCAAGGCAGAAGGTGAACTACTCTAAGTGAAGGGCATAATATCCTGACTGAAATCAAAAGGGACTATTGTCAAAGGAATGAATGAGGTCACTCCCAAGACAAAGCACTTGAGAAGAACAAGGTAATACTGCAACCGAGAAACATCACTCACCAATCGCACCTGACCCAAATGTATCATCATTGAACTGATCAATCTCTTCATCTTCTTCTCCAAGGCCCTGAAACGCATCTTCATCTTCATCTATAGGACAATCCTCCAAAGACTGAAACAAGAAAGAACAATAGCTTTCACAAGTGAAATGCACATACTCTTTTAAAAATATTCTAAAAATGTTCATCTTCCCTTCTCAATGAATGTAATAGTTTCATTACACTAAAAAACAAATGAAAAAACCCCAAAAAAACAACCTTGTTTTTAAAAAGACACAGGGGTCTTACTGTTTCCCAGGTTAACATCAAACTTCTGGGCTCAAGTGATCCTCCTGCCTCAGCCCTCCATGTGTGAAGACTACAGGTAAATTATGCCACTGCTGCCTAAAGATTCCCCCTGCCCAGTGCCAGGATCAAACCCAGGTGTTCTGCATTGTAGGCAGGCACTGTGCCATTGAGCTAGCAACCCGAGCCAGCTGCCATTCTGTAAAGATAACATTTTTGCTACTCTCTCATGTCTCTGACCTTGAAAGCTCCCAGTAGCTTCTTTCGATTTCTATTCCTATTCCTTACTTCATTTACGCCACCCCAGCATTCCATTTCTCCAGTTTATCAAGAATCTATTGTATTTCCTCAGATGTCTTAGAAATGAAGCACACAACATTCTATTCTTCACTGGTCTGAACAGTGATAGTAACTAATGCTAAACACTTTTCATCATCTTGCTTGAGTTTTACCCACCTTTAGCAGCAATTTCCGCTTTCCTAATTATATTCATGTTATCTTTTCAACTATTTCATTATTTAAAGCTTTCTTTTCATTTTCTGTCCTTTCCTCCTGTTTCCTGTGAACCTAAACTCTGGTGATGAAACAGAAAGCTAAATTTTCAACCACAATTAAGTGAAATCTAGAAAAGCTGTGATCTGTCAAGCACAAGCTCTGGCTCCACCTTACAGGTAGTGTGAACCCAGGCGTTACTTTTCTGATTAATAATTAAATATCTTTTCAGAACGTACTGTCTCAGGTTCTAGGCCTCAACTTCTTAAATAGTGAGGCCGGGACAAATACCACTTCCCTCCAGTGTGTTGTGAGGCTCAAATACGGCAAAGGCTGTCTTTCTTGCTTAACAAAAGCTAAGACACTGCCACAACATTTTCGGTGTGTTCTATTTTAAACACCCCCCTCCAGCCAAGTTTTATTCATTTGATTTATTCTCTACGTTTTTTCTTTTCCTTTGGCAACTTTCTGCCCACGTTCATGTTTATTACACAGTCAGTTTGATCGTGGAGCACGTTACGGAGTGTGCCTGTCCTCAATTTCCAAGGATTCAGAATCACAGCTCCACAGTCTATTCGTGGGTCCGTGCGTGATCCACTAGCCATCCTAGCGGCCTCTCCAATTAACACAAAGCTAGAAAGCAACTGCCTCCAAATCAGAGGCAACTTCCAGCATACTTGCTTTCAAATCACTAAGATCTACTTAGCCAAATCACTGCTTTCTAACACAGCAAGGACCCTCGGGGATCACCTAGATCGCCTCTTTCATCTTACAACCCCAGAAACTTCATGCACCGATCTGAGTCGCTCAAGGTCACACAGCGAGCGGCGTCCGGGCCAGGGCTCGCCCGACCTACCCCACCGGTCCCGCACAGCACGGAGGGAGCTTCTGCAGGACACGCCCCCCCGGCCGGCCTCTCCGCGTCCTGGTCTGGCCCAG